AAAAAAGCCAGAAGTAGAGCTGTAGCTCAAGTGATAGAGCATTAGCCTTGAGCAAAAGAAGCTCAAAGACAGCAACCAGGTCCTGAGTTCAAGCCCCAGGACTGGCACCAAAGAAAAGAAAAGAAAGGAGAAGAAAAGAAATGTATGTGTGTACAGACACATATACATACTCACTTAGTTTCATGCTTGTCAGTACATGTACTTTAATGTGATGTGATGAGAATAGCAGTTTGCCTCTGTGTTCTCTCTTCCAGTAACTTATAATCTTCATTGTCATCATGAGAATACCAGAAAAGTCCTAGTTGAGGGCAATCTGCAAAATACCTGATTAGTGTTCCATAAAACTATCAAGGTCACCATAAGAAAGTCTAAACAACTTATATTTAGGAGCCTTAGAGGACATGGTGACTATAATACGGTATCCTAGGAATTCAAAAAGGCATTAGGTTAAAAACGAACTCTCCCACGGTATAACCCCTGTTGTCACTGTATTTGATTCCAGTCCCTGTATCTTACATATACATTTTCATAATTTGGGGAGGGGAATGGAAATAACAAAATGCTTATTAAATAGGGATACAGGTGACCCATTGTAACAATGAGATATACAAAACACTATGTTGAAAATGAACTTTACAACCTGCAGAGGGAGGGGGAGTGTATTTGTGGAGGTGGGAGGTTAGGGATGGTAGGGGAAAAACAAAGGAGTAAGTAATAATGCTCGATAGGAAATGTACTCATTACCTTACTCATGTAACTGTAACTGCTCTGTACAGTATTTTTACAATAAAAATATTAAAAAACTAAGGAACTCTCAGTAATATGTAGACCTTAGGTAATAATAATGCATTTAGATTGATTCATTAGTTGTAACAACTAATTATAATAAGATAGGATAGGATACTGAGTGTGGAGTTTGGGAGATTCCTCTTGTATTGTAAATATACAACTACTCTAAAATAAAATAAAATTTTATTTAAAATGTGCAAGTATGTACACATACATACTTATAATCACCTTTTATTTTTTAACAAAGTTCACACTTCCAGTTTCATTCAGTATTGGGCTTGTCATTTTTTCATATTCATTGTGCACCTAGTCAATTTTTAAAATACTGATACTATTACTAGTGATTGTTGTATTTACAGTTAGCAAGTTACTTTATTATTATGTTGTTAGTTATCATTATTGATGTATAGCTACATCATGAAAATCAAAATATTCTCTGATTAGTAGAATTTTTCTTGAGTTACAGATCAGAAGACTATTGATGGAATATTTGGGAAGCCTTAGGCAAATACAAATTAACTAATGAGAAATTAACAACTATGAGAAAGTGGTTTAAATTTTTAAAATTAAAAACAGTTTAAGGTCTATAAGAACCTGTGATCTTCACTTCTTTTATACTCTGGCAATTTATGAAAATATTTTAGGTATATATTTTAAAAGAATTAGCAATGATACAGATGACATTATGTATATTGTATATAGTATACACACTCTCTTTTCTCTTTATAGTAAAAGATAATAGATATTTTCCCTTTTTTTCTTTTTGGCTATAGTGGAGTTGGGAGGGAGTGTGTTGACATCCTCAGTTCTAGGCTGTCGTTTTGCTTGGGTTGGTCTTGATGTTCTGTTCTCCCAATCTCTGTCTCCTGAGTAGCTAGGATTGTGGATATTAGTCCTTGGAGCCTGGCCGTAGATATTTTCTTAAGAACTAAGGAAGTTTTAAGGTCTGGGCTTAACAAAGAAAATCCTAGTGAAGAACAAAAATTATTGTTAGTGGTGTGGAGGATAAGTCCATAGTGCTTAGGATCATGCTGCCTATGCATGGTTAATTTGTTGACTGTTCCCTACACTTTTTTCTTTTTGGTCAATCTTGGGGCTTGAACTCTGGATCTGAGTGCTATCCTTCAGCTCTTCAGCTCAAGGAGAGCACTCTACCACTTGAGCCACAGCGCAACTTCCAGTTCACCAACGCTGGACTCTCTACACTTTTTTTTTTTTTGGGTCCGGTCGTGGGGCCTGAACTCTGGGCCTGGGCGCTGTCCCTCAGCTCTTCAGCTCAAGGCTAGTGCTCTACCACTTGAGCCACAGCGCCACTTCCGGCTTTTTTCTTATGTGGTGCTGAGGAATCGAACCCAGGGCCTCGAGCATGCAAGGCAAGCGCTCTACTACTGAGCCACCTTCCCAGCCCATCTCTACACTTTTATTAACATAATTTGTTGTACAAGGAGGCTTCATTTTGCATGTGCATATTTGCACACAATGTATCTTGATCAGACTCACCCTCTCTTATTACAGTTCTTCATTTCTCTTCCTCCCTCCCATACCAATTTCAACAATGTCATTTACTTTTTGTTCACCCTCCCCCTCTCAGTAGTATGTCACCTTACATAGGACCTGTTCCACATTCCTGTCATGCTTTTGTGTGTGTATGCTAACTCTTCAAAGTTGTTTCACCATGGTATTTCACATGCCCATATACAATATTTGAATCAGATTGATTCCTGGATTTACTCTCATATTTGGGAAAAGTGAGAGTAAACTCACCCAACTGAGTTGGGTTTTGATATCTTCCTTTACAGATGTAGTGTATTTTGGTGCTATTCATTACCCTCTCCAATTCCCTTAAACAGTCCCACAATTATAAACATGTCCTCTCCCCTTTTCTACATACATTTGCACACATATCTAGGATCCTGTGTGTTTACATACTTGTTTGTCTTTTAGTTCTAGCGTCCACATAAGGCAGAAATCATGTTTTCTTATTGTAGTTTGTATAAGAAAGCTAGGTTCTTTAAGCTGTATTCCAGACCACATCAAAACCACTAGCTTTTACTACATGAATGTAATTACTTTAGAGCTGGCCCTTGAAAAGATTAATTCAGCAGATTTTTAAAAGAAGAATACCCACTGCATGCAAGATAAAAAAAAAAGATGAAAATGGCTTCCAAAGGCACATCTCAAACATCTGTCAGTGCAGTGCATCTTACAATCATATAAATAACTGATAATCAGTGTAGCAATGCTATAATATAGATATTTATAATAGAATCATGAAAGAAGAAATAATTATTCCTGGTATAGGTAATCTGAAATTATGTATAGAAAAGAGGAAATGGTATTTAAGAATATTTTTGTGAATATGATGATTCTACATGAAGATTCCACTTAATATATACTTTGTGCTATTTGTATTTGCATTGTTTTATGTATATTACTTTATTATCACAACAAAATGGGTCAGCTTCACAGATGAAGAAATGGGGCCAGAGAATTCAGTTTTTCTAATCAAATAGTAATAGTTCAAAGATAGAGTCCAATCAGTCAAGCTGTATTAGACACCAAGCACCTTTTGACGGGGGGGGGGGGGGGGGGGGGGGGGGGGGGGGGGGTGAGGGGGGGGGCGGACGGGGTCGTGTCCCTGAGCCTCTTTGTGCTCAAAGCTAATGTTCTACCACTTGAGATATAGTTCTACCAAGCACCTTCAACATATATTGAGTACAATTTTATTATGGAGAGAATTACATTTTAGGTAGAAGAAACAACAGGAGTAAGTTGATAGAAGCTTTATAGTATTTTGATGCTGCCAGTATTACTTAGAATTTTTATGGCTCAAGTAATTGAAAATTTGAATTAGACTGCTTAGTCTAAGGGATTCAAAAGCCTTTCCTCTGTCAGTATTTTACACTTTATGCTTTGTGGGCCATGTTGTAGGGTAGTTTTCTTCAAGAATCTTGTTGTCTTCCATATCTCCAGACTATTTTTCATAATGTTAGCTTATTCTCTGTGGTTTATTTCTTTTACAACAAGACAGTTCGCATATCTAGGAGCCTTTTCAGTCTCTTTTCATGTCTAAGAAAATACAAGACCTTTTCCAGAAGCTTTTTCTAATTGACTGTCTTAAGCTTAATCCTATCAGTTTCACCCCCACCACTCCACAGAAAGAAGCCTGCTAAATCAGATTGGCTAAACTTAATTGGTTAATTCTCAATCTTCATTTTACTTAACCTATTGACATTTGACATTTGATCTTCTCCCTTTCTTTATGTGACTTCTGTATTTTTCTGGTTTTGCTCTTATTCCGAAGTGGCACTTGTTCATTTCATCTCTGTTAGTTCTTCCTTATGCTTACAGCCTTCTGTACGTTGGACTCAGCCCCAAGGCTAGTCCTCTGATCTCTTTAAGTCTCTGTGTCTCCATCTATACTGCCTTCTTGAGGATCTCTTATAGTTTCATTGTCTTAAGAGTAATTTATTTCCTGACTTTATTTTTTATGTTTTTTGCCAGCGTAAGGGTAACTTAGGATCTCACAGTTGCTCAGCTTGCATTCTTGCCACTTGAGCCACACTTCCAGCCTGGCATTTGGCTGGCTGTTTTTGGAGGTGGAGTCTCAAGGACTTTGCTGCTTAAGCTGACTTTGGACTACAGTCGTTTTCTGGATCTGTCTCCTGAGTATCTAGGATATAATCTAAAATAACACACAAAATATTGACATGTAAATTGCATGTGCAACTGATATATAAAGTACCAAGAAAACAAACATCAGTTTATAAAGGAAAAACACATTAATAGATGCCAGCACCAATATTACTCATTGAAATTACTCAGACAAAAATTTTAATAAAGCTATTATAAAAATACCTCATTAAGTAATCATGTAAATAATTTTGAAATGCATGGAAAAATAAAACATCTTAATGACGAAATAGGATATACAAAGAAGAGCCTAATGAGAATTTCAGAACTAATAAACGTAATAACCAAATAAAAATCATACTTGATTAGGTCACTAACAGAATGGAGTCGACAGAGGAATCAGTGATCTTGCAAACAGATAATAGAAATTATCCAGATCTAAACTAAGGCAAAAATAAGATTAAAGTAGAACCTCAGGGATTCTGTAGGACAAAAACAAAATGTTTAATATGCATGTCATTGGAATTCTAGAAGAAGAATAGAAACATTGGTGTGGAAACGGTATTTAAGGAAATGTGGTGCTCACCTTAACAGCACATACACTAAAATTGGAATGATACAGAGAAGTTAGCGTGATTCCTGTGCAAGGATGACATGCAAATCTGCAAAGCCTTCCATATTAAATTTTTAAAGACTAAACAGAAAATGAGTAAAGAAATATAACTGAAAACTTGTCAAATTTGGTAAAAGAATGTCAATGACTATCACAGAGGAGAAATACAAAGAAATGTGCAAACACTTAATCTGCTGAATACTAAAGACAAAGGAAAAAAAGTAGAAAGCAAACTAATAAAATAAAATATAATCCCTATTAAAAAAACAATCCTAGTAATTGCAAAGTGCTCATCAGAAGTGCAGATCAGAAGGTTGTGGCAAAAATAAGTAGAGGATGTAAACAGGAATATATAAATGTCAAATGGCCAGTAAACATGAACCCAGCCTTACTATTAATGAGGAAAGTGAATGAAACGAAAAGCAGATACCAATTTAGTTGAAAAGGCTTAAATAGTATTTGTGAAAGTGTGAAGAAATGGGAACATTTGCTTTTTATAAAAATAAAAATCAATGAAACTATTTTTGGGAGAAATTTGATTGCTCTTATTCTATTTTTATATTGTCTGATTGTGTGTGTGTGTGTGTGTGTGTGTTGGTATTGAAGCTTGAACTCAGGGTTTCAAGCTCTCCTGGCTGGTACTCTACTTCCTGAATCATCCCTCTGGTTCAGCTTTTCTATTGCTGGTAAAGTCTTTCAGACTTTCTCTACCTGGGCTGCCTTCAAACCACAATCATCAGGTCTCAGTCTCCTGAGTATCTAGGATTAGGCTACTGGTGCCCAGATTACATTGTATAATTAACAATTCCTCTTCTAGAGTTTGTACGTGTTTTCTAAGGAGTTTGTACAATAAGCTTTATTGCATATGGAGCTAATGCGTCTAAGACTGCAGTTTTTATTTCTTTGAATCATAAAGCTTTACTGTCTCACAATATGTTGCACACTTTCAGTCACCTTCCAATTGCTTTCTTGACCACAAAGAAGATTGTGTTACATGTATGACATGTAATTATGTAGTGAGGTCTTGCCATTTCTTCAGGGTGGTTTGGGAGAATTTTTGTATCTATTCCAAAGATTATCCACAAAGAGCCAAGAAAGGGGTCCTTCTTGGTGCCTATGCCACTGTTGAATTTTCAGTAGTTTCTAGAGTAAAGTAAGTGTTGTTTGCAGAGACTTCATTGAAAAATGAATTCTTACTGCTCTTACATTCGGGTTATTCAAGACATTGCTTTTTAGAGCTTGTGTTAATTGCCCTTCTAACTAATCTTCCTGCCTTTGTAGCAAGGGTCTAGGACAATGCTCTCTCTGTCGTTCCTTACCCCTCTTTCCTTGTCTCTCTTCTCTTCCCCTCCCGCCCCCCCCCCCTTGTCCTGTTCTCTCCTTGTCTTCTACCCCCTCATTCTTGGGTTTGAACTAAGGGCCTCATACTGGACCACTGAACTATACTAGCCTTTTTTTTTTTTTTGAAATTGGATCTTCTTTTTTGCCTAGATTCACTCCTGGACTGAGATCTTGCTATTTGTGCTTTCCATTGTAGCTAAAATAACCAGTGTGCATCACGTCACTTAGCTATTGGTTGAGATGGCGTCTTGTCTGTATGCTCAAACTGGCCTTGAGCTGCAGTTCTCATCCTCTTAGCCTTTCAAGTAACTAGCATTACAGGTGTGAGTCACCAGTACCTGCCATCATTGTAGTTTCTATCCCCAGTATACTTCTACCCTATTTCAAGGGCTATCTTTAGAATACAAATTATTCTAGGCAAACATGCTTAAAGATTTTTTTGAGCATTAAACAAGTAGATCAGGCTTGTTACTCATTGTTTCCAATGTAATTTCTAGGACAGCATATGGTGGTTAACCTTGTTCCAGACCATAAGTGAGTTAAAAATGTTTCCATTGCAAGTGGTTGATTTGGCAAGAGTAATTCATGTCACTGTAATGAACATTGATTTTTTTTTACTAAAAAAATGAAATGTATAGTTTTCATATTGTAAACATTTAGAGGGAACTAGCTCCTCCTCCTCCTCTTCTTCTTCTTCTTCTTCCTCTTCCTCCTCCTCCTCCCCCTCTTCCTCCTTCTTCTTCATCTTGCTAGAGAAGCATTTTGTTGATTTCTTTTTTTTTGGGGGGGGGGTCTGGTCGTGGGGCCTGCACTCTGGGCTCTGTCCCTCAGCTCTTCAGTCAAGGCTAGTGCTCTACCACTTGAGCCACAGCACCACTTCTGGCTTTTTTCTTTTTGTTTATGTGGTGTTGAGGAATCGAGCCCAGGGCCTCAGGCATGCAAGGCAAGCGCTCTACCACTGAGCCAACTTCCCAGCCCTTGTTGAATTTCTTATAGAGCATGAATACCTGTTTTTAGTGACAGATATCACGGAGAGTTGGAGAACCTTTGTATAATGTGAGCTTTAGTTGCCCAAGCACTGGTAGCACAAAATATCAAATCCTAAATTCTCTTCCTCATATATAGAGTTTTGCATAATGGTGACCATAGTAAGGAGCAATAATATAGATCTAGAGAGGAGGATTACAATGTTGGCAGTGTGTTTCAAAGTTCACCATGAAGCTTTTCAGTTTTTTTGGATTCTGTCTAATTCTTTGCTTAAAGAAGTTCTCAGTAACGTGTGTGTGCTTGTGCGTGTGTGTGTGTGTGTGTGTGTGTGTGTGTGGTTATGGGGCCTGAATTCTGGGCCTGGGTGCTGCCCCTCAGCTCTTCAGCTCAAGGCTAGCACTCTACCACTTGAGCCATAACACCACTTCCGGCCTTTTCTGCTTATGTGGTGCTGAGGAATTGAACGCAGGGCCTCATGCATGCAAGGCAAGCACTCTACCACTGAGCCACCTTCCCAGCCCTCTCAGTAACTTTTGTAGTAGAGTGAAAGTACCCATGTATCTTGGGGGAAGTATTTTTCTTCAGAGAGAAAGATCTTTTTATTTCATATTGGAAACAAAATAGGAAGGAATGGATTTAAATTTTAAGACAAAATCTTCATAACCTACTTTATTAGTCAAAATCCTCTTGTATACAGAAGAACTACTATAGTTACTGAATTGTAACTCTTTCAACACATTTTTTGGAAGAAAATGAAAGGGGGACCATATTAATATATTAAACTCAACAAATAGTAAGTTTGAATATTTTTAAAGAGATGCATTGAATCTGGTTTAAAATCCAGCTTCATCTTTTATTGTTTTTATTACTTAATTCCACTTAGCCACTATGGGTTTCAGTGTCCTCATCTGTGCCATGTCTTTATTTCAGAAACCTTTGATAAACTATATAAAATTTCTGGCAGATAGTAACCATCAATAATTTTTGGTTATCTTTCTCTCTGTCCTTTTTTCCTGTTTTAAAATTATTATCTCCAGGGGCTGGGAAGATGGCTCAGTGGTAGAGCGCTTGCCTTGCATGCCTGAGGTCCTGGGTTCGATTCCTCAGCACCACATAAGCAAAAAAAAGAAAAAAGCCGGAAGTGGCGCTGTGGCTCATGTGGTAGAGCACTAGCCTTGAGCTGAAGAGCTGAAGGACAGCACCCAGGCCCAGAGTTCAGGCCCTATGACTGGACCCAAAAAAAAAAAAAAAGAGAGAGAAAAAATTAAAATTATTATCTCCAAATAGTTGTATTAGGGGTTTCAATTTAACAAGTCCACTTATTTATATACATAATTGCATCTTGATCAGTCATCCTTTCTATCATTCTGTGGGACGTATCACCTCTCTGTCCATGTCTCCCAAGTTTCCTACCTCCATTTTCATATATTTACATTGGGTATTGTAACTTTTCTCTTTGTTCTTAAATAAACATTGGAAAGAAGAGAATATTTAAGATTCGTGGACACTCTGGATATTAGTTCATAAGAATTGAAGAATTTGTAGAAGGTTGGAAAACTTAAAAATTGCCAGGTTCTGGTGCTCATGCTTGTAATTGTAGCTACTGAAGAGGCTGAGATCAGAGGATCAAAGTTCAAAGTCAGCCTCGGTATGAATGAGGAAAGTGAATGAAACAAAAACAGATACCAATTTATTTGAAAAGGCTTAAATAGTATTGGTGAAAGTGTGAAGAAATAGGAACATTTCCTTTTTATGAAAATAAAAATTAATGTAACTATCTTGGGGAGAAATTTGATTGCTCTTACTCTATTTTTATATTGTCTGAGAGAGAGAGAGAGAGTGTGTGTGTTGGTGTTGGTTCTGAAGCTTGAATTCAGGGCTTCAAGCCCTCCTGGCCTGTACTCTACTAGTTGAATCATCCCTTGACTAAGTCTGAGAGACTCTTATTTCCAATTAACCAGAATAAGACAGAAGTGGAGGCATGGCATAAGTGCTATGGAGTGCCAGCATTGAACACAAAAGCCAAGAAACAGTACAAGTCCTTAAATTCAAGCCCCAGTAGCTGCTTCTGCCCCCCGCCCCAATTAAGTTGATCAAATTGACTCAGAATTTGAAGTATAGTTAAGGGATTATTAGATACACATTTTCCCTTAAAAAGAAATGAGGAATTAAAAATTGTCTTTTAACAGGCAGATCCATCATTTTTTTTTGGGGGGGGGTCCGGTCGTGGGGCCTGAACTCTGGGCCTGGGCGCTGTCCCTCAGCTCTTCAGCTCAAGGCTAGCACTCTACCACTTGAGCCACAGCACCACTTCTGGCTTTTTTCTTTTTGCATATGTGGTGCTGAGGAATCGAACCCAGGGCCTCAGGCATGCAAGGCAAGCGCTCTACCACTGAGCCAACTTCCCAGGCCAGAGCCATCATTTTGATATGTTAATGCATAAGTGCAATTTTGCCTTGACTTATCCCCCAATTACATTTAAGGAAAGTTCTTACTTTTGTATTTCAGGTAACATTTTATCAACATGTTTATTATTATTGTTATTGTTATTATTATTATTGGCATTAGTTCTGGGGCTTGAACTCAGGGTCTGAGCACTCTCTCTGAGCCTTTTTGTTTAAGACAGGCATTCTACCATTTGAGCCACAACTCCACTTCTGCTATTTGTGGGGAGGTTAGAATTGGAGATGAGTCTCATGGACTTTCTGCCTGAGCTGGCTCAAAACCACAGTCCTTAGATCTCTGCCTACTGGGTAGACAGGATTATAGGACTGAGCCACTGGTGCCCAGCTTCTAAATATATTTTTATTCAAATGTAAGTTTGAGTAATATCAAAATATCACTTAAACTGACATATTTTTAAAGTATTCTAAATCTTAAGATATGACTATCACTTTGAGTCTTTTTTAGTTTGCTAAATTATTTTACAAATCTGACTAAATTAATGGAGTATTTTCTTAACTTGCTAAGATCATACTGGACTCAATATAATAACGTTTTCTACCAGTCTATTTTCTATTTGTATTGTCAATCTATTTTTGAGATCAGTTGACTAGAATAACTGGTAGCTAAACCCTCTGCAAAATAAGGAATAGTTGATAAATGTATACAATATATAAATATATAAGTATAAATAAATATATTAATTATTACTAAGCCTTACATATAAATGTACTTAAGAAGAAAATTCATATCAACTAATTTTAAACCTTATATCAATTAATTTTAAAATAGGCTGTGTATTGCCATTTGCCAGTGGTTTACCCCTGTGATTCTAGCTACTCTGGAGGCTGAGATGTGAGAATCTTGGGTCAAAGCTATCCCAGGCAAGAAGAGTCCATGAGACTCTTATCTCCAATTAACCACAAAAAGCTAGAAGTGGGGCTGTGACTCCAATGGTAGAACACCAACTATGAGCAAAAGAGCAAAGGAGCAGCACCTAAGCCAGAAGTCCAAGCCTCATTGCTAGTGTATATGCGTGCATGTGCACGCGCGCACATACACACATACAAAAGGCCATGTGTTTAAGAGGGTATTGCAAAAAATAACAAGGCAAGAATAATTCTTGTTAAGCCATCTTTCAGCTACTACTTGTTCCTATTAAGTTAAATAAGATAAAAGAACAAATAAAGGAAAATTTCCAATCGTTAATACATCTTAAACTTGACTGAAGTGAAAAGAATTTATTGACATTTAGACTACTGTTTTAAAGCTTTTACGTCATTAAGTCTATTAAAAAATAGCTGTTTAGCTCAGAAGGTCTGGTACTTGCTGCATAGCCCCAGAAAGGACTCAAATTCTCCATCCTTCTGCATCAGTCTCTTAAATTCTAGAATTACAGGTATGCACTATCATGCCTGGCTTTATATCCATAAGTATTTTAGTCTTAGATATACTTTTTGACATCTTCATTATATTGATTTGGTCTTATTTTTCCTACTTTATTTATGATGAGTCATTTTTATCTATGTAATAAAACTGAGGGAATTAGGTAAACAAATTTGTTTACCTAATATATATTATATAATGATATATATTATATAATACCTATTTATATTATATAATGAACTGGGTTTGTTTACATGTAATTTAAGAAGACCTGTTTATTTATGTCACTTTCAATTGATTTTTTTTAAAGATCTTATAAAATATTATTGTAGCAAAACGTTTATCCCTATGGATTATTTGATATAATTTAGAGGAACACTGTCAGTCATTCATTTAGACATGGCTCTAAATCAGGGCTTCTAAGCTGAAATTCTTTGAGAGAATTTTGGAATTGATAACATTCATTCCTTACATTTGAAGTGGATTAGAGTATAATTTATCTGTACAAGAATGACACATACCATTCATTACCTCAAATGGATCATTGTTGTACATGTAGGATCTAGAAGGACACATCCAGCCGGACTGCTTTTGACTGTGGATGATTTTGTTCTTTGCCTCTTGTGTGTGTATTTCCTGTAATATACATGTTAAGTTTTTTTTTTTAAAGAAGTAAGTTTATTTTAAAACTCTGTTAAAAAGAATCATTGTTTTATTAGGGGAAATCCTCAAATAGTTTAATAATGCAGACTATACGAAATAAAATCAAATGATAGCCATAGTAGTTTTAAGATATAGCTAATGCTTGATGAAAAGACATTGAATCAACTTCAGTATCTATTTATTTTCATTTCAATTTTATGCAGATGGAGGAAGCGAGGAACCATCGGATCGAAGACAGTCAAGTGTAGATTCTCGCCAAAGCCGCTCTGGGCAAGGTATGTTTTTTCACAGTTTCAGAGATTTCTTCCTAGTACTTAATTTAAGGAGTGGATTTTTTTTGAGGGGGGGGGTAGGGGTGGCGCGTCTACTTTGTGTATTCTAGTTCCTCATTTAGTACAATTAATGCAGTCTAAATTCTGTAACATCACTTATTCAGGTATTAAAAGTTTTTCATGTCATTGAAATAGTATTACTATCATTATAATGATACCAAGGTTTTGGAGCATAATGATATATGTAACTAAAAGTATATTTCATACACTGGCTTTTTTTTGTCCTTGTTGGTACTGGGATTTGATCTCAGGACTTCAAAAATGCTAACCAGGTGCTCTACTACTTATTCATAACTCTAGTCCTTTTTGATCTTTTTAAAAAAAATTTTTTTGCCGATCCTGGGGCTTGAACTCAGGGAATGGGCGCTGTCCCTAAGACTTTTTGTGCTTAAGGCTAGCATTCTTCTGCTGGAGCCACAGCACCACTTCTGACTTTTTCTGAGTGGATTATTGGAGATAAGAGTCTCACATACTTTTATCCTAGGGCTGGCTTCAAACTGTGGTCCTCAGATCCCAGCCTCCTAAGTTGCTAGGATTTGCAAGTATGAGCCACCCTCACCTGGCTGCTGGTTATTTATTTATTTATTTATTTATTTATTTATTTATTTATTTATGCCATGGGGCTTGAATGCTGGGTCTGGGTGTTGTCCCTCAGGTCTTAAGCTCAAGGCAAGCACTCTACCACTTGAGCCACAGTGCCACTTCTGGTTTTCTGGTGGTTTATTGGAGATAAGACTCCCACAGATTTTCCTGCCGTGGCTGGCTTTGAACGGTGATCCTCAGGTCACAGCTTCCTGAGTAGCTAGGATTGCAGATGTGAGCCACCTGCACCCAGCTCTCTGGTTTGTTTTTTTTTTTTGCGGGGGGGTGAGGGGGTCGTGGGGCCTGAACTCTGGGCCTGGGCACTGTCCCTCAGCTCTTCAGCTCAAGGCTAGCGCTCTACCACTTGAGCCACAGTGCCACTTCCGGCTTTTTTCTTTTTGTTATGTGGTGCTGAGGAATTGAACCCAGGGCCTCATGCATGCAAGGCAAGCACTCTACCACTGAGCCACCTTCCCAGCCCTGCTCTGGTTATTTTTAAGATAAGTTTTTACTTTTTTTTCTGGTCCAAGGTGGCCTGGACCTCCAACCCTCCTATTTTATGTTTCCTATTTAGATAGGATGACAGCCTGTTTCCCCACTCCATTCTTTACTTCTATATTCTGTTTTCTTCATCATACTTAAAAAACAGTATTTTGAATAGAATATTGTCCTGGGATAGCAAAACCCTTTGTCTGTTTCAAATATTGCTGTATTTTCAGTGCCAAGAGCAAACATCTGAAATATACTAACTAAATAAACATTAAATGAATGTTTTCCAAAAGAATGAAAGCAGAATAAACTGATAAATATCTGAGAAATGCTTAAACTATATACTGAATTTAACTTTCAGAGAAGGTCGATTAAAATAAACTACTGTAAGTGTGACAAATGTGACACCTGGAGCTCAAACTTCATTCAGTACCATCACAAAAATGTTTAGATAAGGGGCTGGGGGTTTAGCCCAGCGGAAGGGCGCCCGCCCGGTGTGTGGAAGGTCCTGGGTTTGGTCCTCAGCCCTGTAAAAAAAAAAAAAAAAGTTTAGATTTATAAATGTGTAGTGTTTTAATCCTGTAAACACTCCAGGTTCAAAAATAAGGTAGATTGGGGGGAGGAGGGAGAACTCAAGCAGTGTAATTCCTTAGAAAGGCTCACAGTCCTACAAAATAAACAACAGAAAATGGGTTCTAGAATGGGATGGGATCAGGGAGAGGAGGTGTAGACAAATGAAGCCAGAAGGGGAAGGGAGTAATGAGAAGGGGAATGCAGTCATAAAACTCGGGTATAAAAAAGAAGCTCCAGGTTCATTTACTACATAATCCTGCTCCCTTTTTTTTCTCCAACTTTGCTTTAGGTTTTAATTTTACTTATTTATTTAAATTTTTATTGTTATTTTAAAGGTGATGTACAGATGGGTTACAGTTACATAAGTTAGGTACTGAGTATATTTCTTATTGGACAATGTCTCCCCTTTCCTTTTCTCTCTCTCCCAGTTTTTCCCTCCCATCCCCATCCATAAGTTGTATTGTTCATTTTCAACATAATGTCTAGTGAGTACCACTGCTACATTTATTCACTTTTGTTCTTCCATTTTTGTGTCCTTCTTACCCTCTCAAAGACAGATAAATGAAAAAACAAGACAAAAAGAAGATATTAAAGATTTTGTATGTGTAAACTGAGCTTATTTAGTTCTTGATATTAAACAGGTAAATGAACTAGTTTGAATGGCTGAAACCCAATTTAGATTTACTATTGTAAATATACTGTGAGGTGGACATTAGTTTTTGACATTTTCTGGGTGAGTATACTAATGCTTATACTGAAACAAGCTCCTTCTTTGTTCTATAATATTACTAAGATATTTTTTTCAAAGAAAACATAGAAATTATATAAAGTGATGAAATTATTTCAATATTCAATTTATCATTTTTTAAGTTTAGTCTAAAATATGTATGTAATACAACATCATTAACAAGCTAGAACTGTTTTGTTGTTTTTGTAATTTATTATTTAAATTAAAAAAATAATTTAGGCCCGGTGCCAGTGGCTCATGCCTGTAATCCTAGCTACTCAGGAGGCTGAGATCTGAGGATCACATACAAAGCCAGCGTAGGAAAGGCCATGAGACATCTCCAATAAACCACCAGAAAACTGAAAGTGGCACTGTAGCTCAAGTGATAGAGTACAAACCCTAAACTGAAGAGCTCAAGGACAGCACTCAGGCTCAGAGTTCAAGCCCCATGACTGACAAAAAAAAAAAAAAAAAGAATTTAGAATTCAATATAGATTGCCTTAGAAATAAAGAAAATAGTATAATTGTGTCATGTTTTAAAATAGGTATTTTCTATAATCCTCATTGAATTTTTAGCATAACACTATCAGGTTGTATTATTTTTCCATAGGAAAATATTTAACTTAATATTAATCTGTACCAAAAATTTATATCAACACTGTTGATAGTATTTATTTAGAATCTTTCAGTTCTAATATTTTAAAGAACAATTTAGTTTGTTAGATAATAATATTCGGAAGATTTGAAGTTTGAAATGTCTATTTCTAATCTTATATTTCTTTTAAAAATCAGTTTTTACTGATTTTCAACTCAGTAGTTGAAAATTACAATAGTCTGTTTTCATAAAATTAAAATTGAAAATTTCTAGTGTTTTCATAAACTAAAACTTGAAATTTATTCTGCCCAAAACTAACTATCTTTGGCTATTAGGGGATACATTAGAATGTGTTTATGTTAGTCATACTTGTACTTTCAATGAGTTATAATAATTTTATTAATTAAAAATTTATATTTGCCAAATAATTCCACTTTCACTACCTTAAAGTAACAAATACTATCTACATTCAGTCTGTATTCCTTAAACATTTGTCTGAGCTCCTACTGGCACTTGCTAGGAGATACATATATATGTTTAGTAATTTATTATTATTATTAATAAGTTTTTTATTGTGAAAATACGGTAGAGGGCTTACAATTACATGAACAAGGTAATGAGTACATTTCTTATCAAGCATTGTTGCTTCTTCCTTTGTTTTTCCCTTACCATCTCTGCCCTCCCATCTCCACAACTACACTTCCCCCCCCCCACGCCAAAGTTGTAAAGTTCGATTTTCAGCATAGCATCTTGTCCAGTGTTTAGTAATTTTTTTTAATGTAGGACAGGTCTTGCTCAATCAACAGTATAACATGACCCCTCCTCAAAAAAAATGCCAAAACTTCCTTTCTTAAAATCTGTATAATGTTCTATAATATAAACCAGTCATCATTTCCTAGTTTATAAATATCTGAATTTGTAGTATAATTCATAATAATTTATGTAGGATCATTTTAATCCCTTAAAATATACATTTCCAGAACTTTTTGTGTCAGAAGTTATTAAATACCCTACTTAGCATTATTAATTTGCCTAACTAACACTAGAAGCTTGTAGAAGCCACTCTTGGCTTATCTGTATTTATGAATAAAAAGCAATAAAAACAATTCTAAAGACTGGAAAAATTATGTTGAGCATGTAGAAATATTCGATCTTAAATATCTTAATTTTTTTAGTAAAAGATAATCATTAAAAACTTCCAAACAGTTTATAATCTTTTTTTTTTTTTTTGTCAGTCATGGGACTTGAACTCTGGGCCTAGGCACTGTCCCTCCACTCTTCAGCTCAAGGGTAGCACTCTACCACTTGAACCAGTGCTACTTTTGGCTATTTCTGCTTATGTGGTGCTGAAGACTCGAACCCAGGGCCTCATGCATGCAAAGCAAGCACTCTACCACTGAGCCACCTTCCCAGCCCCAAAATTTATAATATTAAGGGTCAAGGACAGTTGGTATCAAAGGATGAGTAAAGTTGGTGATAAAGTTATTATAGGGTTAATACTTTGTTTTATTTGATTTGATGAACAGATTGGATTTAATGTTCTATATCTAATTAAAGACAGATGAAACTATTCATACTATATTTCTTTAGGTCTGGCTTACTTTGCTTAATATGATTTTTCCAAGTCTTTCTATTTCCTTACGAATAGTACAATATCATTTTTTCTGATGGAGGAATAGGATTCCACATTTTCTCAATTCATTAGCCCACTAGGGAGTGTCTGCATTGATTCTATATCTTGGCTATGGTTTAAAAAAATGCTGTCAGTGAACATAATTGTGCTGTTAGCTTAGTGTGACCTTGTTTGTGGTCTATTGGATAAGTGCCTAGGAGTAGAATTGCTGGATCATAGGGCAGCAAGCTGCATGTTTTCCCTCATTTGTGGTAACTGGAATGTGCCTATCTACAAGTAAATGCACTGGGTGGTAAAAAACAAAAAAATATATTGGGATATGGTAAATTATACAGGTCTGTAGA